TTTGTTGTTGTTGTTGTTGTCTTAATGGGTTAACCAGTATCTTGAGTTATTGACAAATTTATATTTTCTTTTGTTTATTTTAGATTCCAATGTGGAAATATGTCCATTATATGCAGGTTTACCATCTGCTTTACAAATGAATGCATTACGACCCATCCAGGATGATGTACGGAAAATCGTTTTGGCCACAAATATCGCTGAGACATCTATTACAATACCTGGTGTGAAGTATGTCATTGACACTGGCTTTGTTAAGGCTAAAGGTATCAGTATATTTTAATCTATGAATTCTTTTATTATTTTATTTTACTTTCATTTGTCTAAAGTTAGATGGTTTTACTTATTAAGAGGGAAGGTACAACCCACGTCCTGTGTAGGGGAAGTACAACCCACTTCTCTTGTAGGGGAAGTGCAACCCATCATAGGCGTATGGCAAAATTTTTACGGTCAGGCAGAAATTCATGCGTGATTCGGCCAAAACATAAAAATTTTTGAAAAATTATGTTATACCCAGAAAAATATTTGTATGTGTGCGAAAATTACGATATATAGGGGGAAATTTTTTTGCTATTTCGGGAAAATTTTTTGTATGTTTGCCAAAAAATACAGGATATTAGGGAAAATTTTTTGGTATGTCCGGAAAAATTTTGGTATGTTAATGTTTGCAAAAATTAGGTATGTTACGGAACATTTTTTGAACGGTCCGGGAAACATTTTTTGGTGCACCCCCACCCCGCTCGCCAAAAATTTGGGGAGAAATATTAATTAGCAACGGTCGGGCAAACTGATACACCAAACAAGATTAGGCCCGTACGCCCATGCAACCCATGGTAGAGAAGGTACTGTCCATGTTATTCCACTCTGTAAAACACAAAATGATTTTGAGGGAATTTGCCTTCTAATCCCCTCCCCCCTTGCCAAGTGTCCACAACTAACAATAAAATTGTATAGGTACACTGTATAATTGGAAAAATTTCATTTTGTTTTGCAATTATGTGTGAGTATTTTGTTTGTTTGTTAGAGTACAACCCTAACACTGGTCTAGATGTTCTGAAAGTCCAACCAGTGTCAATGGCTCAGGCTCGGCAGCGGCTTGGGCGAGCAGGTCGGCAGTGCCCAGGCCAGTGTTACCGACTCTACACAGAAGAACAGTTTTACAGCCTGCAAAGTACTACCACACCTGAAATTCAGAGATGTAATTTATCCAGCGTTGTTTTACAACTCATGGCACTCGGTGTAAAAGACGTCACAAGTTTTGACTTTATGGATGCACCATTAGCGCAAGCAATTCAGAATGCGGTTGATCAGCTGACGTTGTTGGGGGCACTTGACCAGGAGAATGGGAAGGTACTGTGGCAAATTAATGCAATTACACTGTATATAATTCACGACCGCAAAACACGGAACAAAATTTTCAAGACATGTGCAGGACAATTTTCAACCAATTTTCAAGACATGTGCAGGACAGAGAACCTTCAACTATCGAGCAACAAAATTATGGAACGATCTAGACAGCAATCTCAAAAACATTACTTGTTGCAATATTTTTAATTAAACGGCTCTGCAGAGGAGAGTGTCTTTAGACACAGATGGTTTATCCATCAAGAGGAACTGATCAGACGAAAGACGCACATAGCTTATCTCGACAGATTGTCCTTCTGTTTTTCATAATGTGAATCCTTTCATTTAATTAATAGCGATTGCGCATAGAAGGTTTTGAATTCAGATCAACTAGTTAGAATGGCTAATGGACGACTTGCGCTTTGGACTAAATTTTAATCTAAGTAAGAACAACGAAATCTATCACCACAGCTAGAAAGAGCGTCTTGGAATTAGTAATTTCACAAAGTTTGGTTGCGAAATGTTGTAAAATACGGAAAATATGGCCCTTCAAAGTTGGCAAATTTGTATACTTTTGTATTACGTGCGTGAATTGGTAACTAAATTAGTTACCAATTCCCGCACGTAATAGAAATGTATACAAATTTGCCAACTTCGCAGGGCTATATTTTCCGTATTTTACAACATTTCGCAACCAAACTTTGCAGTTTTTCTAATTTTGATAACTTCTTTCCGAAAATATCTTTTGTTATTCCCAGATTAAAATTTTTTCTAAAGCGCAAGTCGTCCATTATGGCTGATACATCAGTACTTATGCTTTTCTTGTCTTGAAACTTTCGTTTTTCAAAATGATATTGTTCATCTTCTAGCTCACCCAACTTGGGCGCAATATGGCGAGGTTTCCGTTGGAACCACGGTTTTCAAAAACCCTCTTGATGTCACGTGATTTCGACTGCAGTGAAGATATGCTCACCATTATTGCGCTGTTATCTGTGGACACGATTTTCTACACTCCTCCCAACCGCCGAGATACTTGTAATGCAGTACTACAGAAATATCGCTCAGCGGAGGGCGACCATATCACACTGCTTAACATATATCGCGCTTTCAAATCAGTGCGAGGCAAGTAGAAAGTTTATTGTTGTACGTACTTCATGTAAACAGGCCCTTTGCAAGTCAAAACAATCAGTGACTAGATGGCATGAAGACTGACCGTGTGATTTTCAAAGCAATGAAAAGATACATATGGGACATTTTGATCACTCGATCGTGACTGGATGGTATGGAGAACAGTTGGATTTTCAAAACAATGAAAAGACAATGGAACATTCTGATCACTGGATCATGAGTGGATGGCATGGAGAACAGTTGGATTTTCAAAACAATGAAAAGACAATGGAACATTCTGATCACTGGAACGTGACTGGATGGCATGGAGAACAGTGGGATTTTCAAAACAATGAAAAGATACAAGTGGAACATTCTGATCACTGGATCATGACTGGATGGTATGGAGAACAGTTGGATTTTCAAAACAATGAAAAAACAATGGAACATTCTGATCACTGGAACGTGACTGGATGGTATGGAGAACAGTTGGATTTTCAAAACAATGAAAAGACAATGGAACATTCCGATCACTGGATCATGACTGGATGGCATATGTTATGCAAAGAGATTTGAAGCCCATTTCCACTCGGGAAAATTTTCCGCAGAAAGAAAATTTTGTAAAACGCGATTTTCCGTCAGAAAACAATTATGAAGTTGAAAATTTTCAACTTTTGACAATGATGTTTTAGGAAAATTTTCTGTCCGTGGAAATTTTTATCGGTTTATTAGCGGTTACTTTTAGAGAAAATCTATATATGAGATTTTCGTCAGGACTTATTAGGAAACTGTTGATATTGGAGAGGCGTCTTTAAAGGGATGTTCAACTATATTTATTTATTTGTTTATGTAGGCAACAAGAGTTGGTGTGAGAGCAACTTCATCAACGGCAAAGCAATGAAAACAGTTTTAGACATCAGAATTCAACTTCGTGAACTTTGTACTAAACTGGAAATTCCTCTCCAGTCGTGTGGAAAGGATACCAGTAAAATACGACACTGTTTAACTACGGGATTCTTTGTGAATGCAGCCGAATTGCAGTTGGACGGAACGTACAAGTGTCTGGGACAAAAAATGACGGCGAGTATTCATCCATCCTCGTCGTTGTTCAAAGCTAAACCAGCCTATGTTGTGTTTACGGAACTTGTTCATACCTCGAAATGTTATATGAGGCATGTCGCTGTCGTTGATCCAGAATGGCTTGTCTCTACAGCGTCAGCATACTTCAGAAAACTGAATTTTCACAGCGGTCAGTTTCATTCTGTGGCGTCCTGATGAATTTACACATGCGACAGCGGAGCTATGGACCGTCTCAGCGTAACTCTGGGCGTACCTCGAATGGTAGAAGACTAAGCTTGGGACTCGCACATCGTAACGACGTTTTCATAGGCAATTGAATCTTGAAGTCGTTGGAGCACAAAGCTGATTCTCATGTGCCGGGTTTGTATGTTTTTAACAAAAGACGGATCGTCCTTCAACTGGAAGAAGGCATAAACGTCCTTCACTAGAGCCTAGACCTCCACACCTTGGCAGGTTTGGTCTTACCAAATGATAGCCAAACCTGCCAAAGCCAACCGAGGACCTGGGTTTAGGCTGCCTTCTACTATTTTAGCCTGACGGTGATGAGTCATCATCTTCTACTCACGACATGTATACATCAACTGTTTCCAACATTCTCTACTCGTTGTGTTCTCAATATTTGTGCACGTGAAAGGTTAGGCCATGCAAGAGAAATCCTGGTTCATCATCAGCATCCGTTTTTAGCTGTCTTTCATTAAAAAAAAAAACACGCCACAAACCATAGAAATAATAGATATCTACTATTTCTATGCCACAAATCCACCTTTCCTTGACACTCGAACGGTACAGTTAAACCCAACCAGTAACTTTATTTTTTCAAAAACTTTAGCAATTGATTGTTATTCCATACTCTTCTGATTTTCCACAAGCACGTTTGTGATAAAATATTCCATATATACGATTGCGCCACGTGATTGGAACACGTTCTTCCGCAGTGGATCTACTAAATGTGATTCGTGATCCACCTGCGCACAAGCGCGTACGGATTTTGTTACATTGTTACACTGCTAGCATGCGAGCAGGCTCTCTTAGTTGCACCGCGGACTGATGGTAAACCGGGAGATTTTTTCCACGGCCGTAGAGGGTATTTGTTGTCCTAATCTCCAATTCCCTAGACACTTATAAGCTCATCATTTCTAGAAGAAGCCTCGAATTTCCTTCAACAGTTCCAATTTCCAGTCTGAGCCTGTGCGTATTGCAATGAAATGTCTCAATATTTTATGGACTTACAACAATGGAATTGCAACATGACTGTTAGCTTCAAGAACTTCTCAACATTTTCAAGAACTGTGGGAAAAATACATGAAGTTTTACCCAAATACAGTCATGATACTGCAAATGTATGGAAGTTCACATACACAATACAGTATATATGACCATCGTGGGTATTTGTGTATATGTTTTTACAAGTGGTTACTATTTTTGATTGAGAGGGAAAATTTTTCACGTTTTGTTGCTAAGCGCCAGAGGAAAGAATTGAACGGAGTACTTTACGCAGTCTCGAGATATTAATAACGCTGGCTGTACTTTTTGTCCGCGAAATTGCCAAATTTAGCGTAATGTTAATACGACAGGAGACTAAATTATAAATAAACGAAACCAATTCTTTTTGCCACCAAATACAAGACTTCTACGGCTATGTTTCCACTATACCAGATAGCTTTCCGTAGCGGCGCGAAAAAACACCTGTCAGATACGGAATGTACAACTTTCAGAAGCTGAGCGAAACAGCATCTCTCCGTTGCAATAATTCCTCTGAAAATAGTGTTCCTAAAAGGGTACGGATAGATGGGTTTTTTCACGTCGCCAAAGAAAGCTATCAGGTACAAAGTGTAGCCTACATATCATGAAAAGAATGAACATCGTTTTCTCACTCTGATAACTACATGTTGACCACTATTTTTTTCACAAATTCTAACTAAAACACGTCTCACAAATTATTTGGAAACTGTGATACAAATCTGAGATAAAAAGATGGACATTCAGGAAGGGACACCCTACCTCGTACCCACGGTACGAGCAACTTTTCCACCCACGGAAAGCCAGTGGGGGATACACCACCCCACCCACGCCGTATAATGGCGGTCGTACACCTGTAGGTTGGCTTTTGTAACCTACACTGAAAATATTCTTTGAACTGTTGTCAATAATCACTACCGTCTCAGACTTAAAGTGGATACATTTTGCAGCAATTCGTGCCTTTGTTTCAATAATCGCCACCGGACATGGACAAATATTAAAAATATTTTTCGCATTTCAATGCCACCCGAAGACATGTGTGGTTTTAATATTTTCCTTGTTGCCAAGCGTTTTGAGCCCCCCAATCATCATAATATTATAAACCGCATTTTAATAACCTGTTTTGGGGAATAAAATTGCAAGATATTGCGTTTTACGCTCAAAGGAATCATTTCTAAGGGTCCACTTTGTTTTTTTTTGTTTTTGTCGGATGGGCTGTATTCAAAACGCCATCGAATTATAGCCTCGAGTTGTTATTCTCGTAAGACGCGATCTGATTGGCTGACGACTTTTAATATTCAACCAGATTCGTCTGTTGTTTGTCGTTTGCTATGCGATTGAATTATAGCAATGGTCGCTCAATTTGTGCCGAAAATGTGACAGATTTGAAGCCATTGGAGAATTTAGAAGTTATGTGATCATATTGAACCGTTTCGTGTTCAAATGAAGGACTGTTTGTACAATATGGGATGCGGGATGAGCGCTGAAGATCGAGCCGCCAGGGCACATAGCAAGGCAATCGATCGCGAGTTAAGGCAGGAAGGAATCAAAACTGAAAAAGACGTAAAGCTACTACTTCTAGGTAAGCCTTAAAGCAACCTATAAAACTCTTTTCTAAAAGTCTTGGATAAAATGACGTTGCTGAGTTGTATTCGGTCTACGTTGCCAGACAATTTGAGTCTAAATTTATACATCAAATTGTGAAGCATAAGACAGACCCTCCCATTCCTAGTTGCACGTAAACAACAACGCGTTCTCCACACTTTAATTTAACCGCCGCTCAATTCGAATTATCTGCACTGTTGCAATTTAGCTCGCGGTAGAATGCTCTGCTACGTTCTAATGGCTGCATGTTTTTCCTCGTTTAACAGGTGCTGGGAACTCTGGCAAAAGCACAATCGTGAAGCAAATGAAGTAAGCAAATTTGACTCCAGCAGTCTTTAAATATCTTCAATGATTTGGGAGTATTTTAATAGACACAAAGTATTTAAAATAGCATATCTAGGATTCTCACTAATTTGCAACATTTCTGTTCTAATATTTTCTTTTAGAATTATTCACGACAATGGCTTCTCTCCTGAGGACTACTTCTACTATAAGCCACTAATCCACAGCAACATAATAACATGTATGATGCAGATCATTCGTGGTATGGATAAACTAAAGATCGAATTCGAGGATGAAAGAAGACTAGTGAGTAACAGCCCAAAGTTTTCAATGAATTTCACATATAAATTTAAAGAGGCACCCCACGAATGATGCCTACTGCTTTGTTGTTTGAATCTAGACGGATGCCAAACTTATTTTTGAATTGGTAGCAAGGAACCAGGAACGCGAGCCGTTTTATCCTGAGCTTACTGAAGCTTTGGGAAGACTTTGGGAAGATGAAGGAGTTAGACACTGTTTTGAACGATCGAGGGAATACCAACTGAATGACTCGGCAGAATAGTAAGCCATGTTAACCTTATGACTTGTTTACTTCACAATTCATGCTGCTATTTTTAACATCATGCGTGATTTAATAGTGTCACAAATATGCGAAATATTTTAAAGCTTTTGATAAATTCCCTTAGTTTATAATGTGTGTACTGTAGAGTCTAATAAATATATAGGTTTTATATTATATTTGAAGAAATATGCACCTGGTGTTCAATATTATTTGTTTTCAAATATTTTACTCCAATATAGATGATTAAGCTATGATTATTTAATTAATAACCATCAGCAATTTTATCAAGTTACCAATGATTTATAGAGTGACTTGAAAAATATGTTCCTCTGTTCACACTCCACTGATTTGTGATAGGCAAAATTTTAGTCTGGCTTGGTTTTTGGATTTGTTTTCAATTGCATGCAATTATTTCACATGACCTCATTGCATTATGTCATTCTCAAGGTTATATGTATGTTTTACAAATTCCCTTATACTTATCATGCATTGTTTAATTAAGTCACTTTTATTTTCTGTCTTATATTTTACTTCCTTGAATGCATTGAATGTGCTTTATGTAATAACAGGGCACTAAACAACCCAGAACCTTAGGCCCGGTTTAGACAGCGAACTTTTCATGTGCTGAACGTAAATACAACGATTAAGTGCAACAGAAGAATGGCATCTAAAGCAATTAAGTTTGGCAAGTTTTGATTAGGTTCAACACGGCACAAAATATTATGAGACTCAGGTTTGATATGGGTTTACACGCTGTGCCTTTAATGTGTCGAACCTAATACATTACATTTTTTAGTGTACTGTATCATATACAAGGCCGCCAGAAGCGAGGGCTGGGGGGCTCGAGCCCTACCCCATAATTTCCATATGTACAAGCAAAACACGCAGAAGAACTAGGAAAGTGCAAAAGCAAGTTATTATTAAAGTTATTATTAATTAATTAAAGTATATTTCACATAAGTTTTCCCTTGTTAACTATTATTGGCTTAATTGTTTAAACCTTCATAGTTATCTTGAGTCCTTGCAAAGAATTGGGAGCACCAGCTATAGTCCAACACAAGAAGATCTCTTACGAGTAAGAAACAGAACCACTGGAATTGTGGAAATTGAATTTCATTTCAAAAGATTGCATTTTAAGTAAGATTTTTATTATATAAATACTCCAAGAATAACAGGTACTCATTCGATCAATTGACATGTCGACCCCAATGAAGTAGTGCTGTATGGAATTGCTTCATTTGCTTGTTCACTTGTTCTTTAATTAATAAATCCCATTTTATATATCAAGGACAATGTTAATTTGTGAATTAGACTATGAAGTTCTATGCAGTGGGTGCACACTTCAATTGATCATATTATATGTGTTAATTTTATATGAGTAAAATCATCTGGTATTAGACAGAGTAAAATGATAAAGAAGGGTTTAAAGTATTAAAGTGGAAGTCAAGGCTGTTCTGCGCATCGGTTCTGCTCATAACAATGTGAGGACCCTCTAATGTGAACATTGCGCAAATTTCGAATGTTTCGAATTTTTCTGAACATAAACTCTATTTCATATTCATTTAGAAGCATAGCAAACCAAAATGGTGTTAGTTATACAGTGGATTGGAGTCACTGTCTGTTCATCATGAAAATATTTGTACTAGTTTATTTCAAACAGTAGTTGCTGATGAAAATCATAAGTTACGAAGTTTACTGCCACCTATACATACTTCTTTTTATGATTTAAGAAACGATAGGAAATTTGAAATTCCTAGATGTAACACTAATCGTTTTCAAACTAGTTTTTTTGTGGCTTCGTGCCGCAAATCATCTATCTAATGCTATTGAAATGACCTAATATTTTTAATAATTTTAAATTTTTTAGTATGTTAAAGTAATAAACATCTTGTATATATAATATTTATATGGAATGTCATCATAATGGCTTGATAAACTCTTCTTTTACATTCTCGTAATTAGTTAAATTTACTTGTAAAAAAAATACGCAATTCAGCCTATGGCTGCGAAGTATTTTATTAAATCTATCTATCTATCTATCTATCTATTTAAAAAAATACAGCACTTCAAAGTGTAAACAAACCGTTTGTTTACTTGAGGACTTGACTTCCACTTTAATGTCATGCAATTATAATTTGATGTAAATATTTTTTTGATGACATGTGACCAACTTTTAGATTATGTGACGTTGGAGGCCAAAGAACTGAAAGGCGAAAGTGGATACATTGTTTTGATGACGTCACTGCAATTATATTTGTTGCCGCATTAAATGAATATGATATGCTGTTAGAAGAGGATGAGTCGACGGTAAGATAGATTTTCAAACTTCTTAATCAAGTTTTCAAACTGGTTAATCAATTTAATCAGTTTATCAATTTAAACTAGTTACTGGTATCAAGTTTTCAAACTGGTTGATCAAATTGATTATTCAAATTGACAAACTGGCTTTATAGCAAGTTATTAAATTGACTTAATCAATTTAGCAAACTGGTTAATCAAGTTATCAACTGGTTAATCAAGATAGCAAATTAGTACTCCATAAAGCTTCAGAGTAGTTGATTAGTTTTATGGAAACTTGAATGAAAAATTTTTTTTATTACATTTTTGCCACTAGAACCGTATGACAGAAAGCCTTAACCTCTTCGATTCGATTGTAAACAATGATTTCTTTGCGAATACGTCGATGATTCTTTTCTTGAACAAGAAAGATTTGTTTGAAAAGAAGATAATTTTCTCGCCAATTACAGAATGTTTTAAAGATTACACTGGTGAGTGAACCGTTTACTAATTTAAGGAGAACATTTAAAACCTGGTTTACACTATCACAAGTTTCTGTGTTAACACAGATAAGAGTAAGTTTCCTCAAACATTTCTTACAAATCCTTCAAAACTTAAAATTTACTTATGCAAAATTCCTACTGTGATCACAGAAACTTTGATAGTGTAAACCAGCTTTGTATTAATACAACTTGTTGATACAGTACCATAATTGTTACATTACACTGTTGCAAATTAACACATGGAATAGCGTTTACCAGATTTGGGATTTTCACCCTCATACTTATATTTTCTTCAAGAGAAGCCTCTTTCTCACACACCACTGGGAGCTGCTGCAGCGTCAGCCGCAAGCTTGACATTTATTCCTACCATACAATTGCTCGCTACATAATAACTATAAGAAGTACCATATACACATCCAAAGCCATACTTTTCCCCTAATCACTACTATAAAACTGAATGGGTTGGGTGGGTGGTATACTGTCAAGCTACAGTGAGCGACAACAAAAATATGCTCATATAACCTGCACCACCCTGTAACACCCTGATTTCATCAGGCCCCCAGCAGTGTGTGAGAGAAAACATTTTCCGTTTCTTTCGTGCCTCAGCCAGCGGAAAATAACACTTCCAGCAACATGTAAAATTGTTTGCCGTTAGACAGAATAAAATGTCAACAATACATTAATTAATATATTCCATAATTTTGCAGGTGATCATAGCTTCGAAGACGCATGTAATTTCATTCAGAAAAATTTTGAAAATAAGAATCTGAACGATCGAAAAGAGATCTACGTTCACAGAACATGTGCGACAGATACTAAAAACATTGACGTTGTATTCAACGCGGTTACAGACACTATTATTGCAAAGAATCTGATGCGATGTGGTTTGTATTAAAAATATTGCTTGATATATCAAACTATCGTCGACCTCAGCAGTGGTAAACGACCGTTTTATGGTCAAATGGTGGAGTTCTATTGAACGTGTGGTAAAAATGATCAAAATTGGTGGGTTTCAGTGGCACTTATGGCCGGGCACAGTGCATATTTTAATAGATTTACAGGGGGGGGGGGGGCAAAATCAAGACTGGGCTCCCCATAGTAAAGGCCTGGTCAAACAAGAGTTGAGAAGTGAGAGTTTTCATGAGAGTTTTCTCAACTCTCATGCCCCCCGGTCAAATGAGAACAAGAGTTATATGAAAATTGACTGGATATTACCGCTCATGACAAAAGAGTTGCAACTCTCATCCTCAATGAGAGCTTAAGATTTAGGTCACTCAGGGTAAGGTTAGGGCCCAGTCTGAACCACTAACTAGTGCCCTCCCCAGCCCCCCACACACACACTAAATATGTTAAAATATGCCTTAGTCGGGCAGCAGATGATTATGGTGGTCAATTGTTAGTAAACCTTTCTGGAAAGTATGTCACTTTGACCATAGAGCCTCGTTTACTTGATTGGGATGTTTGGGAGTCCTAATGTCCATGGAAATGAGGCTCTATAGCCAATGTGACGTTACTTACCCGAAGGGTGCATTGATACTTTTGTCTTACAGGAGCATGACAATATTTATTTTGAAATATTTTCCATATATTTTCTCACTCTGAGAACCGTGCCAGTTGATTGTCATCTGTTGCACATGTCTGATGAAACCCACCAAAAGTTTTGAAACGAGAACGTTAGGACGAGAACGCTCAGACGACGAATTAAAATTTCCCAAATGACTTCTCTTTCAATTAAAGATGCTGTACAGTCCGATCTGCGCATGTGCACAAAGGAGCCCTCTTTTTATTTACAAACAGTTTATTTAGGTTTTTATTTCATTTTATGTTCTTGCAAAGCTTGATTGTTGTGCCTTGATACTTTATTATACTCTAGAATCATGAAAATATAAATAGTTGTCGAATAAAATTCAATATTTTGGATACTGAAATGTAAACAAAGCCTTTGTTTACATACGGACTGTACCGCATCTTTAAAACCTTACCCTTTTAATATCGATTAAATTAAGCGGCCTCGTTTGAGATTTTAAACATTTAAACAGGCCCAGGGTTTTGATCAGAAAAGTAAAACCTTGTACAGTACTCGGTAGCAATAACAATTAATTTTGTAGAACTATTTTAGTATGCTACTTAGCGATGTACAAACAAACGCTTTTAATTGTGCAAAGATATATTTAGTATTATTAGCAATTATGGTTGATTTTATGTACGAATACGCGAGATTTTATCTTGTATTTATTTTAAATAATTCTTTTCTGCGAAAACTGGATTTTTCGTCGTAATCAATTCATAGCTTTCTGTCTTGCAAATGTATTGTACTAGATCTGGAGTGTACAGGGACGTTTTTATGTGTTCTGCCTTTCACAATTCCATACTCAGGAAATTTATAGAAAATAAAATCAGTTACATGGTCATAGAACAAGTTAGAAATTCAATTTTCAAAGTTTTCCAAGAAAAGTGCAAATTTTCAAGAAAACCTAAAACAGCAAAGTATAGAATGTTTCAAATTTTCCAGTGTTTCACCCATAGTTTCACCTCACCCCCCCCCCCTCCCCACTCCTCTCCCCTCCTGCAAAACCTTGCACTGTGTTGCAAACCGGGCTGGTCCCTTATAGCCTAAAAGAAAAAAAGTCTTGCAGAAACTTGCAACAGGGGTGGGGGGTGGGAGTGATCTCTGGATAATAGAAACGATCTTGTACACAACAGTATTCTTAAAATATGTATATTTAAGTCTTTCTGTATCCAATGAAAATAGCAGACATTTTATACTACCTCCACCTTGTTTTTCTACCTTTTATTCCTCATCGCTATACAGGTGACTTTTGATTAAATGTGTCTCTGTACAAGTTGGATATAGAAAGATAATTTTATTAACATAAAATTCCTCTTAGTTTTAGTAATTCAAATATATTAGTTTCGTAGTATTTTAATCTATGAATATTTGTTAAATTGAAATAAACAAAATAACATTGCTTCTTCAGTGAATGTCTGCGAGACTGTGGTCCGTTTAAAACGTAGAATATTAAGATCCGTAGTACGGAGCGCTCTTGCTCAGCCTAACATACCCACATGTCATCGATAATTTAGTGTTTGGCCACTTGAACGTAATATAGGAAATGGCCAATTCAATTTGGCCATGCCTATGATTTTTACTTTTTAGACAAGGAAATTACAAAAAGCACTTCCTTGAAAAACAACTCTTAAAGTGTCTGACGCCTCTTGTGCCAAGAATGACTATATAGACTGTAGTATAATAGAAGCCAATGTCATCTGGATTATTGCCAAGTGAAGCCATTCTCCGAAGTCTACGAAGCCATTCTCCGAAGTCCATAGGCCGATTTACACTGCACAAATTTTACCTAAAACTGTCGCATGCAACTTACAACTCGAGTTGTACTGTGTGAATCAAGCACACAACTCACCTGCGTTGTCATAAGTGAGTTGAGTGCTTGATTTACACAGTACAACTCAAGTTGTAAGCAGGTTGCATGCGACAGTTTTAGTGGAGCAATAAAGCATAAAGAAAGTACCAAAAACTGTGACATAACAACATCCTTGTGTCAATTTGTCATGCCAGATGATTGTATGCGGTCGGCAGTACACCCTTCCCAAAAATACGTCACTGGCTATATGCCCTCGTTTTCATGTATGTGACGTTTAGTCTCAATCACGAAAAAGAGGCTCTATTGCCAAGGTGACGTACTCTCCGGAAGGGTGTGTTGTTGGTCACATCATCAAAAAATAGATACGCTTAGCGTTCATGCATCAAGTTATCGTACCCAGGGTATTACCTTCGCTCACCCCCAGCTGCGGGTTGTCAAGGTAGTTTACATTTGACCTTGAAAAAACTTCAAAGGCAACAGCATCGTGACAGCATGCAGTTGAATATTTAAACGAGGGTGAAGTATACCTTCTCCCAAACGTTTTCGCTGTATATCCTCTCCATTTTTAGTCTATCAGCCGCGGCGAGACCAGTTTTAACTGAGTGGGGGTGGGGAGGGGACCAAGTCAGATCAGTGAGTCAGATACCTTCAGTGGATATATTTTGAATATTACTGAACTATGAGATGTAACTATATATGAGATAGCTTTTGAACAAGTGCACTTGTCATAGAAAAACCTCAAGAAAAGTAAGGGGAGGGGGCAGATCCAGACCTCACATCCCCCCACCCTGTGGCCTCGCCACTGTCTATCACAAAAATATTATCCTTTTTCTGATCGTCAAAACCACGCTTTCAAACTTTGATTTGCTCTCCAGCATCTGACTCATATAAGTAAGTGTACTCAACACATCCTAACATACTGATCGACTTTCGAAATTTGGTGACTCATGATCTGCATAATAACCGCAGTTCAGTTACCCGGATATATCGCTTCAGGGCTTAACTGTTAGCTGCTAATGTTGCATTGTGCTTCAGTCTTCTGTCAACAACCGTGTGTTTTAGTGCCTTTTATAAGCCGCAGTGATTCGCCCAGTGCACTATTATAGCGAATAACATTGGAACAGTCAGGTCAACTTCGCTCTATCTGTTGTGATGGCGCTCGTGTGTAGAGAATCGCCAGGACTAACACGAGGTAAGAATGATTATTTCTTTGTTATAATTGTAAATATTCAGCTGAACATTGAGTGATACTTTATTTCTTGAAGAGCAGTACTTAAAGTCGTTAAAGATAATTTAAGGTATTACCGTAGCTCTGGCGACAAATTTTGCCAACTCTGTGCTCGTTGAAATTTCGTCTCAACTTGGTGTATAAAACACCCGGCGTAACACTAATATTGTAATTAAGCTCCGTCACAAATAAGGCATTGATACGCCTTGTTTTGATATTAAATCTGCTTTTAAATATGCCCTTTCATCGACCTTTGCCGACCGGAGATAGAATATAGAAGGAATTTTTGTAAAATCGTTTGTGAATAGTAATTGCAAATGTTATATACCCATAGTAACTGTACTGTATCAGATATTTGGTCAATATTTGCGCACTGAACATATTTTGTTACCAGCATTTGTATCCATTTGTCGAAGGTCACTGACATAATTTAATCAACGGCCGTCTATGGAGACGAACTGCTCGTCGACAGATAAAAAACAAAATGTTGTCACGGTGAGATCGTCGTCCCGCGCACAGTGCAGCAGTTAAACTCGCAGCGAGAACTTGCATCTAATTACAATAAACTGTCGAGCATTATGATTGGATAAAAGTACTAGCAGCCAGCTTGCGAGTCTTTGAATTAGCATAATTTGCAAAAATGTTATGATTAAAATACATCAAAGTGATCAAACCAAAAAATATTAATTTAATACGCCACATGCATGATTTTTTAAAAGCTCATTAGAATATGACGCGTTACGGTATGTTACGATTCCTAACTCTTAATTCTACAGAATTTTTTCTATTCTGTCAACCAAAATATATTGCTTTTAAATAGTACCTACATGCAACAACCATTATATATCAATTTTCTGTAAAGATCTGTTATTAATTCATTAATATGGATATTTGATACGCGTTAATGACTAATGTTGTCAGACAATTAAGTTCTTTGTAGTTTTGCATCGCGATGGCATCGTATGTTTATTTTATTCAAATTTGTCGTTCCATACTTCTGGATCTTCATCACTGATATATTATTAGCACTGATGAAGATGGAAAACTTTGCAATAATAAATCATAAATATACGTAGACAAATACTTCATAAGTATTATACTTCTGTCAACAACTTGATTGCACATAATATTAATCTTGTTAATAAAATTCATAAATAGCATCGTAATCGTAATTTTGACGTTCTTGCCAATGTTTTCATTGCCAATTGGCAACATCACCCTCGTATTTCTTCCTATGCATGGTCATATGATGGTCATATGATAGTCACGTAAAATTTGTTATGGTTAACTTCCAAACAAAGAGCTTTCGCTCGAAACTTCAAAATGTCATAGAGTTTCATAGAGCGGTTTTGCAGGGATGAAGACTTGTTAGAACCCAAAATAATGAAATAATTTGTACGTTAGGATCTAGGAATGAGTTTAATAGAAATCTCCGTTTTTGTAAAACCGCGTTCGGGGTTGAAATACGCCTTTCTTATTGCATGAACGCAAGTTACTCAACATTCAGTATCTTTCTTTTATTGTAGTTCTTGCATTGTTGTTTTTCATCTACGGGTTTTCATCAAACAACGAGTTTCAAGTATCGGCAAGAAAAACCCAATACTTAGGTAAATGATGACATTTTTATGTTTGAATGAACTCCATCAGTTCGTTCAATAGTTCAGTGTTGTTAGAAGAGAAAGAAACTGCAGAAACCAGCCGAAGAAAACCAGGGCTTTCGGCGAAACAAAGTCGCTGGCGGGCGCCTCCACTTTTTTCTCCTTATCACCTGAGAAAGAAATGAAGGGACAAATTCCTAGTAAAATCCTTCAGAGTCTTCCCTGTATAGTAGGTAAGCATTATATATTTTTCTTTTAGCTCGAAGACATCCCTGGCCTAATGCTACAATACCTTACGTGATTGATTGCAGTATTGGTAAGATTTTATGAGCGCCCGTGTTGTAGTCTACAGACACAAGGCGATGATGAGTTATTGCATCCATAGTCTTTCAAAACATGGTTTGGAAACTCCGCTAAAGTCTTTGTTCTATCTTTTTGTTCGCGTTTATGCAGTTTTGTGCACGGTGCACGGTCAATGAACACATTGTATTTCAGTATAATGAACGAATCATCCAATAGCAACGTTTCAGTTCAGTCATTCAACAATGCTATTTAAATATTAATAAACCTAAAACAAAGGATGTGCACAGTGTAAGGTACGGCTCAACATAAAATCCCAGCTCATTATAACCGCTTTGAAGTTTACTGAGTTTCCAGACCATGTCTCGAAAGACTATGTTGCATCAAACTCGAAGGTAACTGTTCTATCACGTCAATGAATAAAATTTGGATTCTCTTCCTCTCTTTAGCAAACGTTGTTGGTGCAAAAAGTATCATAAAAGCAGCAATGGTTGCTTGGGAGAAGAAAACATGCATTAGATTTGTAAAACGAACGAATCAACAAGCATACTTGCTCATACGAAGAAAAAAAGGGTAAGAACAGAAGTCAATAAAATAACATGTAAACTACATACACAACTTTTTCCTAAAACTGTCGCATGCAACCTGTTTACAACTTGAGTTGTACACATCACAAGCAGATTGCATGCGACAGTTGTAGGCAAAAGTTGTGTAGTGTAAATTATATCTCATTTCCAGATGCTGGGGTCAGGTTGGCTACAAACGACGAGTGACTTTTCTCTCAGTGGGCGACGGTTGCGAATATAAATTCGTCATGATGCATGAACTGGGTCACGTGATTGGATTCTTCCATGAACATCAACGGGCTGATAGAGATGAATTTGTTGAGATTCTTTGGGATAATGTTATGAATTGTGAGAAAATATGAATATTTGAAGAGTTTAAATCAAACTAAACTAACTTTATTTATGCTGGATAGCTCTATCAGTTCTAAACTGTTCTCCAGGGTTCGTACAAAACTTGAAAGTCCTTGAATGTCCTTGAATTTGAAAACAAAAATTCAAGGCCTTGAACGTCCTTGAATTTGTAAAGAAGTACTTGAATGTCCTTGAATTCTTCTTGCTTTAGTTTTTGGATATTTTCTGAAATTGTGTGACATTCAAGACGGACATTTTGTTGAACTGATTTTGCATGTTCATATCTGACCTCATTATAAAGTAGTTACGTTTTGAACAATTCGACGTCAGATTTTGCTGATTTCTAACGCCTTCTTCAGTATTTAGTCCTTGAATTTGCTGATACATGGCCTTGAATGTCCTTGAAAAGTCCTTGAATTTAACTCTTCCTGACCTGTACGAACTCTGGTTCTCCCTAGAGGTCCAGTAAGGGTCACCTCTTATTGATCCAGTGTTACTACAGAAGGAAACCTAAACTAACTTTAGTTATACTGGATAACTCTATCAGTTCTAAACTGTTTTCCCTAGAGGTTCAGTAAGGAACATATCGTGTTACTACAGGAGGAAACCTTGACAAGTCGTGAGATTTTTAATGTGTATACCTGGAGGAATAACATGCTAACATTATTTTGTACCTATTTCCAGCAATGTTGAAACAGTTTTACATACGTCCACAAGAAGACCATATGGACACTGAGCTGCCGTACGATTACTCCAGTATCATGCATTACAAGTTCGTGGCATTTGCAAAAAACGATTCGTTGAATTCCATTGCAATCAGGGACAAGAACTCAACAGAGGAACACACGCCATACAGTTATATTACCGACCTGGATGTACGCAAGACTCACGAAATGTATAATTGTCCCTACGGTATGTAGAATATTTTATTAAATACAGTTTCCCTCCAAGAACTCTCCATGTAACGGAGGAGTAAAACTCGTCACGTAAAAACGCACAAGTTATAGCAATGCTGTTCCAACAACTTGTCAACAGGATATGTTCGCACTGCTTTTTCCTAGCCTGTTTGTTGAATAGTTATCAACGACTTGTTGACAATCTGCTACAAAGTTACTGAGCTCAACAGACTTGTTCCAGCAACTTGTTATCATCCTGCAATTCAATAATTTGTCAACAAGTTGTGAATGACAACCTTGTAGCAACTTGAATGATAAAATAACAGCATTGTTGCAACTTGTTGACAAGCTTGCTCCAAGCCTGTTGCAAGTTATGAGATTTTTGCGTGTGTGTTGTGATGAACTTGCAAGTTGAAAACCGTCTAACATCTATCTTCTTTTACCAGTTGAAACAAACAACAAAAGTAGCAACAAGACGGAGGAATTGGACAAAGGTTTGGACCATAATTTCTATGTACACATTGAACTATGAGAAAATATTGTACAAGTACTATTTTGTATTATAACTTGCAGATGGTATGAAGAGAAAAATGGAAGAAAAGAATAAAACACCGGTAGAAATTGTAGTTGAAGGTAATTATGTTAAATTGAAATTCAGAAAACGTGTGGAGACCTCTATCACTTTAGCGGTTCTGAGTTGTTCTTTATAGTGGTCCAGTATTCAGTAAGTGCCTTGCTTTATTCGCGGATTTGTCCAGTGTTACAAACTACAGGAGGAAGCTGGAGTAGCCATGAATGTAACCCAGGTCACAGAGATGTAAAATACTACCAACATCACAATTTACAGTGTTATTATAATCCTAGCTGTTGAAGTTTCATTGATGAGCCCCGGATGGTTAGTGACCAACAGTCGTGATAGAACTGCCAGTATTATGGTGAATGGAAAAGAAATGACACGAAATAAATTTGGAATGAATATCATTGTGTTTAATTATTTATCTGGTAAGTACAGGGGAGCTGTATCAGTTTCAAACTGTTCTTTCTAGCAGTGGAGCATGCAATGGGGCCATCCCTTATTGGTCCAGGGTCACTTCAGAAGGTCAAACTAACTAACTTAACTTATGCTAAATAGCTCTGTCAGTTGTAAACAGTTAGAGCATCTAACAGCATCCCTTATCAAAGTTAAAAAGATAACTTTATTTATATTTTATTTCGTTAGGAAAACGAACGCATTCTATCGCCCTTAGTATCACAACCAAACGAGCAGGAGAGCTGTTCTCAAATTACATCAAATCAATTGCCCGAAGGTATGAAATTTATGCGTCAGACGGTAATAGTGGGTTGGACTGGCCGTTCAGTCACATTAATGAAAACTTTCCATCTTCAATCTTTATCTTTTTCTGTAGGAATTACTTCTTAATCGTAAGTAAAGTTCCTTCATTCTCCCACTTGAGAGAAGCGAGATTGGCTCTGAAGGATATTGGGATAAAACTACCAAACTACATTGCTCGTGGTAGCTCCATATGTATCGTCGGTTACAAAGGAAGAGATGATGTCTCCGTGAAATATGTGATTGGCTCGCCAAAGGAGAAAGCTTCGTTCCTATCAATGAACATTACATTACCCTCTGGTGAGATTCCCCCCTGGCTATTGGTGGGGGTTTAGTAAAGGGCGGGAGGTGGTAAGTGTCCCCCAGGGGTTTCTAGGGAACAAGACATATGTTCAATGGGAACAAGTGAGCAAAGCAAAAAAATCATAGGAACAAGGGAAGATGTAAGCTTGGGGGAGGAAAACGTTTCAAACGAATACAGACCCCTCCACTACATCTCTCAGTTCTATTTATTTACCTCCAAATACAAGATTACTACATATAATGAAAAAAAATAATTCTCACTCTAATAACCACTGGTTATCCGCCACCTGCTACACGATAGTGCTGAGTGAGACTCACAGATTATTTATGTATTTGTTAGATTACAGTTGTCAGAACGATGCTCCGAAATGCTTGGCAAGAGCAAGAGAAGGAAAATGTCAGAAAAAACCAAATTACTACCTTAAAGCTTGTCAAAAAGCTTGTGGCTCGTGCACGAAAGGTGTGTATGTACTACTTTGTGAAATCATGACCGTGAAGGAGTTTGTATATCTGATACAAAATCATGCTGATTTACATAAACTTTAAGTTCAATTTTCTCACCAAATATCATTGAAGAATGCGAATGTTCTCATCAAGACGTTTCACAAGCCATTTACAAAATTCATGTCCGTGTTGTATCGGATATACAAACTTTCGCGTTCTCCCTAGTCGAGTTTGTATATCCGATAGAACACGGCGGCTCATGTTGTAAATAGAACATACAGTATAACCCATTGTGTGTTGGTTCTGAATCGATATCGCAAAATAGATTTCCGACTCTGTCTCGTCTCATATGAACAGAGTCTCAATCATTATCTTTCAGGCAAACCTTGCGAAGACGAGAACTCGAAGTGTGCAGACTGGGCAAAGAAGCAATACTGTCGCTCACATGCGGCTTACATGTTAAAATATTGCAAAGTCAGTTGTGAGGTCTGTAGAAAAGGTAGGAACAATTCGTAGAAAATATGACCATTAGAAACGTGCATGCGAGGGGGGGGGGGGGGGGGAAAAATCCATACATGCAAAAATTTGAAAAATCCATATATCCAGGAAGGCGGCAGAAAAAATATATTAAAAAAATGACAAGTTTCAACACAAACACATAACCGAATCGTAAAAAACATGATTCATGAAGAAACCTTCCTCTTCCCCCCCTCCTCCTTCCCAGTGCATGCTTATTTTCACTGCTTCGTGACAGGGTTTGTTCCTGCAGTTTTCTGATTGTATCTTGTCTCACTCACATGTGAGAAGAGTGCTTCCAGTTTGACTCTACCAAACACCACGTGTTTTCGTCAACTACCCCAATTTCCTCCTGTGGTAACACTGGATAAATAAAGGGTTATTCTTCTTGTTCATCTAGCCTTACCAGCGCGAATTAAAGCGAAAGGAGACAGTTCAAAACAGAAACGTAAAATTGTGGTGGTGAACGATACTAAGAAGAGAGTGAAAAAATACCTGCCTGGGAATGAAGGCGATGAAGAATATGATGGAAGAGCGATAGGTGGGGAATTGATAGAAATGTTGGTCGGGTCTGTACTGCAGATGGACTGTACGTGTGGACGGACTTAAGTAAAGAAAAGATAATTGGTCTGATAATTCACCTGTGTATAGGTCCGACAAACAGACAGATCATACGTCCATATTTGTGTGTAAATATAGCATTAGACGAACTTTCAGGAAAATACTGTATTAGGCATGTCTTGACAGATTATTTCTGAGGGTTTCCCGGGGGTCTGTATTCCCGTGTTCCCAATGCCAAAATATACCGTATTCCCTTATTGCCTTGTTTCCTAGAAACCCAAGGGAGACCCTCGTATTCGGTATTGATCGCCATTATAATGTGTGAAGTTTCTTCATGATCCTGAAACCTGTCATCCATGACTTCTCCGGAGCATCCCTTATTTCAAGGGTGAAATCGTCTGGCATTAGACAGAGTAAAAAACTCATCACATTCAACCACCTGCTTAGCTTCTCATGCTAGTTTATTATCCCCCATAAGGTACAAGATGTTCAGATAAAAGTGAAACCTGTCCTCTCTGGGCAAGGGTTGGTCGTTGTAAATCAGACCCCTGGGTAAGAAGGAATTGTCTCATCAGTTGTAAAATCAAAGGCACGTGTGACAGACAACAAATTAAACCTGAAGGTAAGCATATATAGCAATGAAAAAACTCATTTTTGCTTTTACTGAAACGCATTAATTAATGCTGCAATACACTGTGTTGTATTCGTCTGTATGAATTTATATTCGGTTTCTGTATTTCTTAGGAACTTGTTCGCAGCCATTTGGTCTCGGCTGGGATCGGAGAATTCCAGATTACAGATTTACTGCTTCGTCTATTTATACGATAGGTATTTCACTTTGAAATGTTTTGCAGTCTTTTTATGTTCTCTGTCATATACGACGAAGATGAACTACCTACACCACCGCTATAAAGACCAGTTTATAAATGTCAAAGTTTCTGTGGTCACAGTAGGAATTTTTATAGGTAAATTCTATGTTTTGAAGGATTTGTAAGTTAGTTCAAACCTTTCTTTTGTTAATCTAGAGCTTGAAATGTCGCCTGTAACAATTCGTAACTGCCAAATCTCATCGAATCTCATTCTCTTTGCCCGGGGTTTACAGTAATGTAGTTAGCTTAGGTGCATGTTAGCAATTTATGACTTCAGTGCATGTTGTGTGTTGTAGGCTCATTATTTGAGTAGACTTTCGCGTCTGCAATATTGGCTTCGTTAGAAACAATGCATGTAAATGTGACATCAATCGGCTGACGAAAATCATAGCGTGTGTGTGCTTGTATTTGGGTCTGTGAGACTGGCTAGCCATCACAGCTCTGAATATATATGAAGCTTGCGAATTTCGATACACTTAGGACCACTTGAGGTTACGTCGTCTTTTCAAATAATCCTCTAGGAGAATGGAATGCGAGTGCAGACAACGCAAGATTGTACATGGAGGATGATTTCACGAACTTTCGCATCGGCTCTTGGTGCTCAGAATATCCTGCGAAGCAAGGAGAATGGTTGAAGGTTGATTTGGGAAGAAAAAGGAAAATTACAGCCGTGGCTACTCAAGGTCCAACTAAATTTAATTTTTTATCATTTGAAATACGATTTTGTATAGATTCCCGCCTGTTTCTCGTAAAAGAGGCCGTTCTCTCCATGTTCTCTTAACTGATTTCTTAAGAATGTGACGATAATAAATTATGTACTTCATTGCAGGAAGATTCCGTTATTACGAACACGTAAAGACGTACAAATTATCATTTAGCAAAGATGATAAGAGATGGGAATATTATCAGGAAGATGGGCGTGTAAAGGTGAGCTGAATTGCTTATTATTAACGGCAAGAAACTAATGAAAACTAGACTCTCTTTAGAACTCTATCAGCTCAAAAGTACATGTTCTTCCTACAAGTCCGATTAAGGCCATAATTTTCCCAGTGTTACTTCAGGAGGAAACCGGATTTACCCGGGCCCGGAGAAAACCTAGTATATGTTAATGGAGAAGACAAACTAGAGGCACTTTTCTTACATGCAACTGAGGTGAAATTATAGTCAGACCTCTGCCAGCGATCAAACCACGGTCACACACATGAAAAACACTTGCAGTAACCAGTGTACCACCTTGAAAACATCTTTAGAACATTGTTATAACAGTTTTACAACATGATAATAGCATTATAAAACATATAACATCAGTATCATGTTATCGATTTTCAACAAACTCTGATCAATTTTCATTCTTATCCAACAGGAATTGAAAGGCAATTGCGACCATGGTTCACCAGTATTAAACATTTTAGACAAAACTGTCCTCGGACGTTATGTGAGGTTTCATCCAATCAAATACTATGAAGGAATATGTATGCGTGTGGAAGTCTATGGTTGTAGAGCTTAAATGATGGAAGAGTGATGAGAATGAAAAGAAAACTCGAAGAAAGTGAACGGCGAAGCTCTCTAATACAGACACTGAAGGCAATGAGCAAAGAGTCCGTAATTAGGCGATTGACGTGTTATGTTTTTATGTATTTACGGATCCGTATTATGATTTACGGAGGTTTTTAACGTACATATTTGAAGATTTTGTCGTGACATACGACATTGCTTGTAACGAAGAGGTGTCCGTATTAAAGAGAGAGTTAAAGAGATGTTTAAGGTTTATATTTTGTATGTACAGCATGTATTATATATGATATATATTGTATGTAATATGAGAAGAAATTTGTATTGTAATATGAGTTTATACTAGTGCATTTTATATTGTCCATTGTGTCAAAAATGTACATTTACTTTTAAAATAAGTTTTTGAATTGTTTAATTAAAATAAATTGTTAAAACAAGCACACCATACCTAAAAAATCAGTGGATTAATGCTAAACCTGGGATTAACCCTAATCAAGACTGAACAGTGGTTACAGAGATTAGTGTTAAGCCTGGATTTATGCTAATCACAACATTTGGGCTCTGTGATTTGGGTCACCTATGCAATGAAATGAGCGCCATATTTAATTTCGAAGTTTCAAACTTCAGAATTTATGAACAAATTTGTAAATTTTTCAAGATCAAAAACACTATGAAAACACCTCAAAAAGCTGCATAGAAAGCTTAAAGCGTCAAAGATGATGAAGTAAGGTACATTATTGTGAAAGCCTTGTTATATCGTCTATATTTTAACATAAAGGTTTATCATTAAAAAGTCAAAATATATAAAATGGCAGACGATTCACTCTATGGTTCGCTACAAGTCCGACCAAGCGGCTGGGATTATTTTGAACTGGATGACATCCTTGCTTGTCAAGAAAAGATACCATGTACATTTGAAACACAAGTTAAGGATCTTGGATTTCTTGACCACGGGTCGGACAGTGAACACATTGAACCAGCCACAAAAATGGAGTTACCATTTTGGCTAGCCAAGGAGCTCTGTGCAAGGCAAAGAAAGATTATCTCTGTAGAGTTACCAAAAGTTTATCGTGAGGCATACAGACAGATCCTCGAGGCTGATGCTACGGCAGTTGATCTCAACAAACTTGGCCCATATTTTTATTCTGTTGGGGGCAAGCTACTTGAGTTTGGCAATGCAGAAAATCCAAGGATTGCCGAGACTCTAATGATGGTATGTATGAAATTTAGGGTACCACTACCTCGTTAAGTAGAAATCATCCTAACATCACAGACTTGTTTGATTCCCGCCTCAATGCAGATCAGTTGATGTCTGTTATCAGGGTCTGAAATCCAGTATCCTACTTCTGGATACTGGTTACCATAAATTTATCCCTGAACCATCAAAGTAAATATATGTACATGTCTGTCATTGTTATAAATTACAATAACAACAACAGACTCGATAGTCAACAACTAGACCACCGAGGAAATTATTTTCAAGAAGACAGACTCGTAGTATTCAAAGCTATTGAGTCCAGCAGAGACATTTAGCGTGATCCTAATGTTTGAAATTTTGTGATATTCAAAACCAAATTTTAGTATCCTGTGGTTATATATCTGCTTGTATCACAGTGTTCTGACTTTCACATGACAGCAGACAATGTTTCTACCAGTATGATTCTTAGATTTATAAATTATAATAATTTCAGACATACATGAAGCGAATGAGAAGACTTATGGATCTATCTTTGAACAAATTGGATGGCAGTAAAGAATCGCAGACATTGCTTCCGAAACTTGATCATGATGAACACAATGTTTTTGCGTTCTCTCAAGAAGGTTTGAGGGAGTTTGAACAATGGAAACAAGGTGTGATATCAAAATTAACCTCTTCGAAAACTGTCATTAATCAAAGAAAAAGAAAGCGCACAGAAGACAACTGATTTTAGAAGAGTAATTTAACAATTGTTGTAGATATTTGCTCAGTCTTCCCAGAAATGTAGTTTGTGGCCAATAGGTAACAATTTCTATGCAGATAAACTACACTACAAATAAAAAGCAAGGCTGATCAAATGAACAGCTCACAAGTATATTAAATCCTTTGTCAAAAAGGTGTATACTTTTGATATATAATTATGTACAGTGTAGACTGACTTGTGGTAATGTACATAAGTGGACAACTTGGGAGGGGCTATAGCCCCAAGTACAATTGACTGGGCTGAGCCCCTCTCCCAAAAGAAAATATCACAATGGAGAACTTAATGTCAGTTTCTTTGATGCCTGAAATGCAAAATGTATAAAATGACCTGGTTTCTACATGTCATAAGGAAATTCCAGATTTCAAAATCGTCTGTGGAACATGGCCCTGGACCGCCCCAGAGTTTGTTTAGACCTCTGAACCAAACCAACCTTCAGCTGCCTATGGTCATGTAGTTACCATAAGTAAACTATGTTCTTTGTAGGATTGAACAGCCTTGATACACAGGACAACTTTTAATGATATTAAACTCGCGATTGCAAATTGTTACAGAACTGAGAACCAATTAAAATTTGTGCAACCTCATTTGCATTACAAGTTGTCCCGTCTAACATTGCCTTAATAATTTATATCTAATGTATTTTAAACTTGTAAATTACATACAAATATTACACTAGTCTAAAGTATAAACTTTACTTTAAAATATTAATAGTCCATCAAATAAAATTTGCACTCCAAGTAAATTTTGAGATCAGTCGTCCTAATTTCCACGGTAATTTTTGGAGATTTACCACAAGGTGGTTATTTGACGCGCTAAATGTTAAAAATACGCGACAAATACTGAAAATACGACAGGATGTCGGTTGGCTAGCGAGTTTCAAGAAGACAAGATGGCGGACGACGAGCTTGAAGCGATCAGAGCTAAAAGAATGGCTGAATTACAGCAGCAAATGGTGAGAATGACTTTGTATGGTTTTGAAGCAAATGTTTTGTTGTAGTAGGATAGTTTGATTAAGTTTTTTTTATGTTTTAGGGCGGTGGTGAGGCCTCACAACATCGTGAACAACAGGAGGAGATGAAGAGGTGGGTCCAGTTGGCAAGAAATCTGTCGTTTTCTGCAGGAGATTTTGTATACCATTTATATACCATGGTAGTTTCTATACCATGGAGTTTATATACCATGGTAGTTTCTATACCATGGAGTTTATATACCATGGTAGTTTCTATACCATGGAGTTTATATACCATGGTAGTTTCTATACCATGGACTTTGTATACCATGGTAGTGGTAGTTTATATACCATGGTAGTAGTAGTTTATATACTATGTCCATGCATGGTAGTTTATATACCACAAATGATGGTGAGTTTTTCTGTTCTTTTGAATGGTGTCTTTTGATGGCATATGTCCTTTGCAGTCCTGGAATAATCTCTGATTACACACACCATCAAAAATGCACTATAGTGTGATTACATTATTTTGGGTATGGTGAACTGTGAAGTATGACAATAGGGCCATTTATACGGGACAAAATAAGACACGACTTACATAAGACGCGACTTAAATAAGACGCGAGTTTGTCGTATAAAAGGCACAAAATTCTTATGTAAGACCCGTCTTGGATAAGACGCAACTTAAATAAGAACAGGACTTTTAGCTGTTCTTATTTAAGTCACGTCTTAAATAAGAAATTTTAGACAAAAATTCTAACTTACACATGCCCGAAACTTGAAACAACGTAAAATTATTAGCCTTGCATATTAAAACAAAAACAACCGAAACAACATTATAGCTTTTGCAAGTAAATAAGAATAAAGCCATAGAGAACCATTTATGCGATAACTCCGCTTATATAAGACGTGTCTTATGTAAGTCGCGACTTATTTTGTCCCGTATAAATGGCCCTAATATGCCAGACTGGGAATTGTCAGCCTATATAAAGCCCAAGTGATTAATCCACAGCACACTTTGGTCATTTTCCAGGGTGCATTCCATGCAAAGTCTACGCCGAAGATACACCAATATTAACTATAGATACTGTAGTATTGTAATTTGCCAAACTCACGCCGAAGATCTTCGGCACTCACGCCGAAGATCTTCGGCGTAGGCCACTTAAAATGCACCCTGGGTTATTTTGGGATCTGGAGGGCCAGCCTTGTCCACCTGATTGTCAACCTATTGTCATGTTAGGCCAAAAGTTGCCGACCTGCAATTATATTTTTCTGATCCAAATTCAGAGCAAAAGAGAAAGGCAGATCAAGCAATATTTTCGGATTTATATGATAAACTTGTGCTATATGTTGAATTTCAGGTTGCTAATACTTTGCTACCTTGATTTTTCACTAATTCTGAGGCCTGGGAGAGGGCAGTAAAATTACATAAAAACGTTGCTAATATAATTATGTAGATTGGTCTGTTTTTGGCATATATACAGTATATTCACATTATTGTGTTTTGTGAATTTATAGACGAGAATCTGAAATGAAGAACCAGATGCTATCACAAATTCTGGACCAACAAGCCAGAGCAAGATGTATGTAAAAATTTGGTGTGGTTCCTTGAAATAGAACTTTCTAAGAAAAATGAGTAATGATGTAAAACTTCTGAAAATAATGATGTTTATAGTAATTGGTATTTAGTATTGTTGTAATTTCTGGTGCCAGTCGAACAAAGGCCAGATAGTACTGCCCAATGGATAGTGATTTTTTTAAAATTATGCATTGATTAGTATAGCACAGATTAAATTTTACTATTTATAAATTGAAGTTTCTTTTTCACTTACTGGCCTTCATACAGCTGTCACCAGATGTATATATATATGGTCCTAATTAAGGCCTGTTTACATTTTGCTGTGATGTCTAGTGCAATGTTCTTTTGATGCATGTGAACGTGTGAATGAGTTACAAGTGTTCTTAGTGTATGTACCCTCATCTCAACATTCATAACTTATCCACTCCTTCACATTTATCACAAGAAGAAAATTGCACTAGAAATTACAGCAAGAATTGCAAGTGTAAACAGACAGGCCTTTACAATTTTGGCCATGTATGTTATATAAAGAGCTTAAACTAAGTTACCAGTACTTTCTTATGTTTTAGTAAACAGTATTGCATTGGTAAAACCAGAGAAAGCAAAAATGGTTGAAGGCATGTTGATTCAGATGGCTTCAAAAGGACAGCTTGGGGGAAAGGTGGGATCTTTCTGTAGGAATCTCATTGCAGTTTCCAAGATTTAATTTTTGTTTCACAAAGTATTTCTAACAAGTCTATTGTCTGTTAGACCAATTTGTCAATAATTGTTACATTTGAAAAAAATGTTAAGTGAACTGTGCAGGTATGATTACAGAAAATCTGAATATTCTGAAAAAAAAATGCCCGTTTTATTTGCGAGAAGAGATTTACAAACAGACAAAACAAAGAAAAAAATTAGTATTACAGTCGTACCAATAGAAGTGTTCCGAAAAATGTTGACCAATTCATTTCCTAACTTGAAGGAACACTTCTGAACAATTCCTCAACAATTTGATAAGTCCCTTAAACTTCCTGTTTCATTCACCAATCATATTGCTCAAAAATAAAATATAAAATTTGATTGGTCAATGAAACAGGAAGTTAGAAACTTTTTAAGGAACTTATCAAATTGTTGAGGAATTGTTCAGAGGTGTTCCTTCAAGGTAGGAAATGAATTGGTCAACATTTTTCGGAACGCTTCTATTGGCACAACTGTAATATTTTATTATTGTACAAAAAACAAACAGAAAAAAATTGTGTACTAACATTAATTATTGTACAAATTACAAACTGTTGCTTATTATCCTTTAAAAAAATGTGGTCACACCACAATTTATACAAGAATATGTTGACAAACGTAACTATTGTTTGCCATATCACACTATATCTGAGCCAGGAAGTTTTGATGACAAATGTAATTTGAGTTGTGAGCGTATGCTTTAGGTGCAATGCTTGCAGTGAATTGACAGGTGAGACTTTTCTTGCTTTTTTCGGTAAACACGAAATTGTGGGAAACAAAAATTCACCCAGGAACGTATTTTTTCATTAGAAAAACTTACCAGTCATGCGTGACTGTCTGGTAAGAGACATTATTTGCTTGTCAAAATGAAAAAGATTACCAAACAACGACCGGTACTTATTTTGAGGCTTGAAGACAGCTGGATTTTCTTTCTGGAAACGATATTGTCTGGTCTGCAATAGCAAAATCATGTCATCCTTTAATGAAAGATCTATTTATCAATAGCTCCTAAGCAAGTTATTTGCAAAAATATTAAACAGTGATTTCTGTTCCTAGATTGGTGATGCACAACTTGTAAGTTTACTAGAACGATTTAAAGAAAGCAATCAGAAAAAAAACACAGTTAAGGTATGGTGTAATACTTATAATCTGTACCAGTGTAGGTAGTGCCAATAATATGAACAAGCTTTCGTTGGTAGGGATGTAACTACCTGAAAATATATTTATAAGGAGAGTTACTATGATATATTTACAGGTAGTTGCACATCCCTACCAACGAAAGCTTGTTCATTGTAATACATATAGTTACAGTCGTGCCAATAGAAGCATTCCAAAAAATGTTGACCAGTTCATTTCCTAACTTGAAGGAACACCTCTGAACAATTCCTTAAAAAGTTCCTAACTTTCTGTTTCATTGACCAATCAAATTTTATATTTTATTTTTGAGCAATCTGATTGGTCAATGAAACATGAAGTTAGGAACTTTTTAAGGAACTTATCAAATTGTTGACGAATTGTTCAGACGAACTCCTCAAAGTTAGGGAATGAACTGGTCCACATTTTTCGGAACGCTTCTATTGGCACAACTGTAATGGTTTGCAGAAACAGCAATTATTTAATATGAACACTGTTTGGTTTGTCTTGGACCCACTACACTACAGTAGATCACATACTGTCAACAAAGTTTTTCCTCTGAATAAAAAATCACCGTCTTTAAGTGGAGTTAAGTAAGATTTAAATCAAGACTTCTTCTTTGCCATTTTCTGTTGTTGGTCTTGTTTGATTTTCTGTAAAATCATTTCCTGTTCCTTGATAACCTGATCCTTTGACTGGTTTGAAAATTTTGATTCCATATTCAAAATTTCCTCTGACGTTCGTGGCACAGTTGGTTGGTTGTTTCTTAAAGCTGAAAATTAATAAATTGAAGATATATATTAAAAATGAAACATTCAACTTCGCCCGCATCTCTTTCCTGAAACGCGCTCCTTAACTTATTAAGTTACATGGCATCCTACTTTATTGTTTTACTCCGTCTCTCTCTAAAGCCAGATGATTTTACTAGTTAATGGGAGAGTGCTGGCAATTGATGGGTTAATCAGTCTATCTGCCCAAGTGTTTAGTTAACCCGTTTAGGTTGCATTATGCCCTAATGTGCACTATCTAATGGAAGACGATTTCACCTGTCAATGGGAGAGCGCTGGTCGCTCGTCTGGCGTTAGAGAGAGTAGAATAGTAAAGTACAGGGCCTATCAGGGCACAATGCGACTCAATCGGTTAATGTTGAACAATGAAAACTGTTTCCGAACTACCTGTTCTTGCAGTTGCCAGGAAATTTTTAAGGAAAAGCAAGATATCAAGAATGAAGCTCAAGAAATTTCAAAAATCAGCATTAAAGTAACAAACATCACAATTAGAGCATAAATACAACAATCATAACATAAAAATTTGTATCATGTGGCAGTGCTATGACTGCCTGTTAATTTGAATTACAACCAAAATTAATATTTATAAAAAACTTGGCAGGAAATTTTTGGTCTGGGAAGTCTGCTGCCAGGAAGAAAAATATTTTATCAAGGCTTCATCCCCTACCCCAGGGAGGAGGTAGAGTGTCAAATGCCCCACAATGGCTCAGAGGAGAATGGTTATTGCTTGATTTGACTGATGTTGGTGGCAGTGATGATGGTGGTATTTGTGATTGTGGTGGTGTTATTAAGCGCCAGCGCCCTCCCCTTGAAGAATAAAATCGTCTGGCGTTAGACGGAGTAGAATAGTAAAGTACAGGGCACATCAGGACACATTGGGACTCAGTGGGTTAATGTTGAACAATGAAAACTGTTTCCCGAACTACCTGGCACATTTGCACATTCTTGTTCATCATAAAGTTCTTGCAGTTTATCTTGCGAGATGACATTGATAATCGGAGTGAAATGAGCATGATTCATCATGCATGTAAACAATTGTTTACCATAATACTCTCCATTTCCCTGACCAACATCATGGTCCTACAATGCAAAGACTTTTTGTAGTAACAGTTACAAAAGTGAAGCTAATTAATGTTTATATTCATTCTGGCCATATAGAAAGTGAGATAAATTATGCCTTAAAAAACCTGAAAATCATAACCAACAAGGAATTGAAATACCTACCAACCGGATTCCAGCGTAAGTTTCTCTGCCCCCTGGTACTCGACCGATATATTTTATACAGCCTCCATATAATTTATCATTTACATATGTCCAAACTCTGTCATTTATTTCATATCCAGCATTGTTTTTATTCTGCTTTTCTGAAGAATAAAAATTTTCCTCTTGTGGTTGCTCTCCCAGCACAAAGTTTGACAAATCTTCTGCAAATCTCTTGACTTTGATAAGCACACCACTGTTGCTCTCTTCAGTGCCATTAGCCTCTTTGGTATCTGTTTTACTTTCACTTTTTGTTTCCATTTGGTCTTCACATAATCTCAATTTTTCCAATGATACAAAGATGCCAAAATCAGTTTGACATCTGAAAAATCTCACTCCTTTATACATTCCATTTGTTGTGCCCCTCCCCACACCTTCCTAGTGAAAAAGAAAACAATTGGTAATTTAAATTATTAACAAGCTTTTGTTGGTAGGAATGCAACTACCTGAAAAATATGAGGAGAATTTCCACGTTTCAAGCAAAGGTTCTTCGTCTGGAGGGCCTTCGTTTGAAACGTCGAAATTCTTCTTATATTTTTTCAGGTAGTTGCATCTCCACTAACGAAAGCTTGCTAATACTTTTGCCACTACTACACTGGCACAGACAGTTCATAATTTAAATGTGTAATGATGTGTAGCTTTTTTTTCTCCATGTTACGTGAGTACCAGCTTTGGCTAACTCACTGCCCTACTTACCAGTAACTCAACACCAAACCATGTACCAAACTTGTTTGGCAATGGCCCTTTGTACCTGACTATACCCCGTAGTTCCTGCTTACTACCACCAGCCACTGATCGAACCTTGACATAAACATAACTACCCAGGATAATTTTCTTTCCATTTTTAAGAAGAGACTTATTGTCCAATAACTTAAACCTGTCGCCCATTGTACTTATTGCAAGTAATAATCTCGCTTCTTCTTCGCTAATGTGTTTCACATCACCAAGTGGGCAGTCACAAAAATACGCTGGTTTGGAATAAGAATGGAGTCTTATTAAACCATGACTTTCATCAACAGCTGTTGTAACGTTTCGGATAAGTATTTCTCCCTGGAGTAGAGATACACATTTTATGGAACTACTCATTGCACTATAATTTTTCTCAGAATTTTTTGCCATTCTTTCTCTCAGAAGAATATAAAATGAGTGGAGGTGGGTGTCGTCCTTTCGATGCTCAGAAACGTTTGGTTCTATTTCCACGATGTCCGTTGATGTTGGTGGTACAGAAGGTGGGTTGTCTTTTGATGCTGAAAATGAATACATTTGGAAAACATATTAAACATGAAAAACTTCAAAACTTAGTATAGCCATTTAATTTGCATATTTACTGTGTGCATTATTGTGGGGCATTAAATTACAACTAAATCTCCTACCCCAGGGAGGAGGTAGAGTGTCAAATGCCCCACAATGGCTCAGGGGAGAATGGTTACTGCTTGATTTGACTGATGTTGGTGGCAGTGATGATGGTGATATAATAAGGACTGTTTCATGTACCTTTAGTATGTGTATTCACTTGCAACGTTTCACGCGAAACATGATTTTTAAATCTTGATTTATCTTCCTTCTTTGACCGCCACTGTTCATCACATGATTCCAAACCAGCTTGGTATTCCTCAATATTTTTGTCTGTGTTTTTCTGTTCTTTTTTTTCTTGTTTGATTTGGTTTAAAATGTGTTCTTGTTCCTTCCTAACTTGATCTTCAGATTTGTATGAAAATCTTGATTCTACGTTCAAATTGTTATCTGAAGTGTGTGGTACAGAAGGTCGGGTACCTTTCAAAGCTGAAAATTGGAAACGGAACTGAGTTTACATGAGATTTATTCAGTTTGAGACAAAGGAATACTGTAATGAGTAACAAGTTGCAAATTATGTGATGGATTTATTATGCACAAGTCAAATCCAAGTGTAGCCATTTAATTTGCATATTTATTGTGTGCATTATTGTGGGGCATTAAATTACAACTAAATCCCCTACCCCAGGGAGGAGGTAGAGTGTCAAATGCCCCACAATGGCTCACGGGAAGAATGGTTACTGCTTGATGTGACTGATGTTGGTGGCAGTGATGATGGTGATATTTGTGATTGTGATATTAATGTTGAACAATGAAAACTGTTTCCTGAACTACCTGGCACATTTGCACGTTTTGGTTCCATTTCCACGATGTCCGTTAATGTTGGTGGTACAGAAGATTGGTTGTCTTTTGATGCTGTAAATGAATACAATTGGAAAACATATTAAACATGAAAACCTCAAAACTTCTTTTTTCAAAGGCAAGGTAATAATCAGCAACTTTCAGTTGTTAAGTAGATTGTAGTTCTCAAGCTTTTATATTCAGAAAAGTATATGTTAACTTCCCAACGGGAATCAAACCCACGTCTCCCGATTGCCGATTCGGTTGTTTTACTACTAGACTAAAGGGTTTCAGACAGCAATTCGATGTTAACTAGAGACGAGTTCATCGATGTTCGACTTTCGGTGTCGACTAAATCAGTGAGCATGAATATTTCAATTCGTGGGTCCGTATTTGCCAAAGCTCTGTCAATAGCGACCCTAACTCGGTTGAAAAATGTTAGTTTTAAGAAGAATTTCAAGTAAACACAAAGGGTTTACTGATTTCATAGTGAGAGTAGCTGTAGTAAGATATGAGCAAGTTATGATGATAGGATTAGATCAAGTGATCTTTTGGAAGGTTTAGGATGGGATAATCTACATGTTAGGCGGGCTAAGTTGAAGAGTATCCTAATGTATAAAATCCTTAATGAAAATTGTTCGCCATGTTTAAGAGAAAGCCTCGTAAGACTTGCAGAACTTAATAGAGGCCATAATTTACGAAATCAGGAAACGGATCTAGCACTTCATTAGTTACCGTTGTTTGGCTTCTGCTGTTCATCACCTGATGTTACAACTCCAGCTCCGCTTTTCCCTACGTCGTGATGATTTGTGTGTGTGCCTTCGTTGCATTCTGGCGCTTCATTTGTTTTGTGTTGATCTACTTCGGGTTTTATGCTATCAGGTAGATTATCGTTGCCCATATATTCCAAAATATTATTGATCCGTGTGTTGCGTTTAAAATGCGATAGATCGGGTGGAATGCCAAGCTGAAAAATGACAAGTACAGTAAATAAGCTGTATATAGCAGCCAAGCTACCTGTACCAGAAAATAAAAACCGTTTAAGGACTAACAAGACCTGATTCGCAACAAGCAGCCATTGAATCAGAACCACCCCTGTATGAAAGAATCCTAAAACAATTCCCGAAATACGAGTCCTTTTCGTACATATTCGCTAGCATTATTAAACATAGAGGAGAAATAATTCAACTTTTCCATCTGCAGTTAGGTAGGTCGAACATACCTCGACTTCCGCCCTGCATTCAGGGCAAAATATTTTGCTTTTTCCTTGACTCAACTTTACAATACATCCATAACAGAAAGAATGTTGACATTGAGGAAATACTCTGGGGTCTTTGAGTCTTTCAAGACACAAGGAACACTCCAACTCTTCTTCAATTTTGTTAAGCAAAGACGGCGCTGTCGCCATCTCTGCGAAGATCGTTCTTGGAAGACGAAAGCAGTTGGGGTTTCACCTTTGATTCATTTGCATATAATACTGTACAGTATTCATGAATAATACATTTTTAAAATGCCATATACTAGATGGGTTTCGCTAAGTCTACGTACTATCTTGCAACCGGAAAGTGATCAAAATGAGAAAATGTTCATTCTTTTCATTTATAGTCCTCCGTACATGGAGTACACACGAAACAAATGGCTTGAAATCGAGGCAAACAATGCAGTAATCTATTGAAAATAAATTTATTGCCAGTCAGCAAATTCGGGAAAAATTAGCATTGAAGTTAACCACACGAAGTTGAACACAATCTGCTGCCCTATAACGCTTTTCAGAAATCCGCCTGATGTTTACTAAAAACTCATTATTGCGCTTGTAAGTTACTAGAAAGATTTTAGGAAAGCATCATGGAAATCTAGTTATCGTTTATGATCACATTAATCTGTTTGTCTGTGAAGCAAGCATACAAATACTTGGTAAATTATTGATCTTGTTTCACAATGGGCCTTGATGCCCAGATGTTCCCTTATTGAATTCATTAATCCAATTACACTTATACAAAGCTTAGAAAAATTCTCATGAGTCTAATAGTAATATATTAGCAGTTTTCAATGCATACGACTGTTTTGATGAGTGCTCATACTGTATGTGTCCTTGAACTATACATATTGTCATATACCCTAAATCCTCTAAATAACCGGGGGGCTTACAGTAGCTATTTTCAGGCACATGTCAGGGGGGGGGGGAGTACTAATTGAACGAGAGGGGAGATTCATAGAGGAAAGAGTTTAACAATAGAGATGTACCGTGCTACGGTGGAGCTTCGCCAAATAGAGGATTTAGGATATAATCTTTATTCAATGATCATGACGAAAAATCTTTGAATCTCGGCGAACAGTTGTTTCAAAAATGCATTTTGGTGCCTCTTGACCATTGATGTAAATTTTAACTCCAACTACTCCTTGTGTTTTGGGCACAACGATAATATCATGTGTCCCGTCCTTGTGGTCAATATGACTAACTTCACGGACTGTCGCATTTCCAGAAAATTCTGCTTTTACTGTCTGTCCACCATGTTTGATGTCACTGTTCGCCTTGTCTTTGCATGTCACCGTTATAACTGCTTGTTCATCTTTTTTAAGCTTGGGCGGCTCTAAGGAACTCGTGCAATTTTCCGGGCAGACATTGCTATTTGCTACCAAACAAGATTGAATCAAAGATTTCTCAAAGTCTTCAGCGGACTTTAAGACGAAAACCTTCATGTCGTTATGTACTGAACGTTGTTCGTATTCATTTCCAAATTGCATATTTTCTGGTTCTTCGGAAATACGTTTTTCCTTCATTAAAACTTCCTCGTCTTTCAAATCATCAAAACGCGTTTCTACATCACAGATATTACTTTCTACGAAAGTCTGTTTTAGGCGAAGGTCGTCAATTTTCATTCCAGTTGTTTGCAATTTTGACTCTGTTATTTCGTTTGCCTTGGCAATCAACTTCTGGCGTTGTGATTCCACAGTTTTCACAAGCTTATCAAAGTGCTGGTTGATTTCTACTTGGACTTGCTCGTTCGTCGTTTTGAAACTCTCTTCTAGTTTCTCGAAATTTGAAATGTCGTCACCCAGGTGGGCTTTCCGCTCTCGAAGATCTCCAAGTTTTTCTACTAAGCTTTTCCTAAAATCTTCAACGACGTCTTTTATGGCGCAATATTCATGTTCACGATGGTCTTGTATTGTACAGTCCTTGCATGTTGGTGTTTCACAAGTTTGGCAGTAATACTTGTACTCTTCCCCCTCGTGTTTGTCACAGACACAGTCGTGTATAGTCGCCAGTTCTATATGTTCCACAATATCTTTCACGCGGTAGCTGCGTTTGAAACACGATAAGTCTGGTGAGTTTCCTACCTACAAGAGACGATCGATAGCATTTGAAAATATTCAATTGTTTGGCTTGGCTTTGGGGAAGTCTATATTTGAGACTTTATATGCAGCAGGTGGGGGTCAACTGGTAGCTAGTATCGGAGTAAAAAATGTTAATTCTTTCAGAAATGTAGGTCAAGTTTCTTGAATTGAATAGTTAAGAAGCTTCATGACACCATCTGCTGCATTTAATAGGATCCCGTGTTTATAAACAAAGTCTCAATTACTCAGTTTTGAATTGTGACTTAAAATAATGGTGGTTGAACTACCTTGTGGAATGTGGCAGGCTGCAGCCCACTACAAAAGTATTTGGTTTAGTAAGGCTTCTTATATTAAATGCCGAGCAGTATCAATCGGATGTAATTCTTCAGTGAGCATACAAGTGGACTAGAGACAAATGCTTCACTGCTATACAATTCTTACAGTGCATCGACTTATAGTTTATACATTTTAGTAGTTTATACATCTTTCATGCAGAGTATCCGAGACGGATGTCTGCAGTGTTTGAACGTACAGTAAATACACTCTAGAAATTTTGCTTCATGAATTCATTGAAGATTAGTGTGTACAAATGTCTGAGCAGCTCACCTCGACTTCCTGTCTACATTCCGGGCAAGAGATTTTGCTTTTTTCAGTTTTTCCTTGAGTCAAACCCACAATACATTGATAACAGAACGTGTGTTGACATTCAGGGAAGACTCTCGGGTCTTTTAGTGTATAAAGGCATATCGAACACACCAGACATTGCTCTAGTTTAGTTTGTAAACCACCCGACGCCATTTCTGTGTCAAATATTCTTGGAAGAATTAGCATAGGAATTTGAAACAACCGGTGGTGATGCAGTTTACATATTGCATAATAACCATGAATAATATATATTTTGAGGTTAACATCGTCGCAGACGTGTTGCTAGGTATTTGAAGAAATATCCAGCAGCAGTTAAAAAGACGTGGAAAGCTTTAACACTAATTAATGTGTATTAATAAATGCTTACGAAATCGAATTTGAATCCCTACAGTGTGGTTAATACTTCGGTAACCCAATACGAACTTTCATGTCATTTTCAGCTCTGGCAAGGTTCACAATTCTGGGGTCTCATCCCTACCACTTACTTTGCCAAAGTGTGGCCAGTATAGTAATGGTATTTTCTCTTCGCTTTAGTTTAACAGAAGAAGGCTGGATGATTCAGATGACGATGACTAGACAAAAACTTATGATGTACAGAACATTATGCAACCTGGCAAGATTAACAAAAGGATAACCAGATAAGCTATTTATAATTTAATTAAACGAGGTATTCAGATCTTGCAGTCACGCGGGAGTATTACGTCACGCGAGAGTAGTACGTCACGCGGGAGTATTACGTCACGCTAATTTTGGGTAGCAACTATGGACAAGAAAGGAAGCCAGGTCCGGATAAAACAGCCTTTCTGAATTCGTATTAAGCATGTTAAACGAAGGGGATGGATCTCTACCGAATGAACCTGCGAGACGGCTGCTTGATGCCGTGTATGTTTTTATTTAGCTTTAAAAATTTGCCACCACAAAATGCCGAAGTCAAACGATTACGTCATATTTTGTGACGTCACTTGCAAGCGCTGAATATTAGTTCATAAGACCTCGTGATTTGCGCCAGTTTTTTTTTAAGAACAATGCTATTGAGCAATTGACGTTTTCCCAGGCCAAGTATGGTCTTTTTAAAAGCACAGAATAATGACTAACTGATAACGCGCCATGACAGCGAAGTAACTTTTAAATATGATCGTAAAACAATGATTAAATATTGTAAAACTTCATGGCAACAGTTTAATGTAATACCTTTCCGAGATGGAATCACATGGTACTGTGTATTGTAAACGGAAGCATGCTGAAGTTCAATGAATGTTGTTTTGTTAAAATGTCAGTTTTGGAAACCTATTGAAATAGCTCGTATATTGGCATCCACCGTACGGCACACTTGTGTACATAATTTTTATAGCAATAGGTTATTGGTAAATTTAATTAAACGTGGCCTTTTACAGCCACTTCAGTTTTATCCAATATACTGTATACAAACTTAGTGCATTAAAAGCTTTACTACAAGTAGATTAACCAGTTTTCTAAGTCCATTAATACTGCACAAGTGCACAACATTTTTATATAACAGTTTTATGTGCATAGTTTTTATACCCGACATAATATATTAAATCATTCTAATGAAATCATTTGTACATGGCCATTTCTTTGCTCTCATACAAACACACATAAGCATCTCCTAAAATCCTGCGTACTCTATCAGGCATCTCTTTGTCGTCGGTGTTGATAATTCGTTCACGGTTCTGTTTCTCCGATGATAACCACTCGATGATTTCAGGGCATTCCTTCACTGATGGAACATTGTAGCCATCCTTTGTACCTGCCGAACACATTAAATGTCTCGTGAAATGTCTCTTTTACTACTCTTTTACTATTTACTAACCTTGAACGATGGTCTACCCCCCGCCCCCCCCCACTTCACATCACCAGTTTTCTCCCCCCCTCCCCCCATGGTCATGCATCATCCGTACCTACTCTGTCTGCCATACTGTCAAAGAAACACCACTTCACAACACCATCAGGTTCCTCACACTTGGCAAATGTGACATAATGACTGGTCTCAATACAGATCACAGCAAACAGTTCCATTTCACGATGTTCTACAGGCTTATTAGCATAACTCGTGCAAATCTCGTGGGACACGTTTATAGGGTGTTTCTTGTGCTTGTTACGCTTGTAATCAGAGTGAACGCGTTCGTTACATTCTTTGCAAATATTTCCCGAGCTGTCAATATCAGTTCCAGTGACAGCAAAACATTCTCTACAATAGTACCGCGCGAGTCGACCACATACTGCACAATCTTGTGGAGCTAGAAAGTAAAAAGAGAGTTTAACAAACTGTAATCTGCAATGCACCACGGTCATGATGGCGGCCTTCGAGTGTTAGAATTCTGTTGGTCTTGAAGTCCATTCGGTCAGAGAGTTAACAGGGTTTGTACGAGTCATGGAAAACCTAGGACCGACCTACCGGCTGGAACCAAGCCTATGAAAACCTGGAAAGTCATGGAGTATTTCAACATACAGGCCTGGAAATTCTGAAAATCAGTGTAAAGGCTCATTTCCACTCAAGAAAAATTTCACGGACAGAAAATTCCAAAAATATCACTGTTAATTAAAAGTTAAAAATTTTCAACTTCAAAATTTTTTTCCCACGGAAAATTTGTGTCAGTCAATCACATTTTACAAGATTTTCTTTCTGCGGAAAATTTTCCTGAATGGAAACGGGCCTTAAGTCATAGAATTTACTAGTAACAAGAAATATGAATTACAGGAAGTATTTTCGCGAGAAAAACGTGAATGGTAGTTTCTGTACATAACCACGTATATTTGGCCTTTATTTACCAAAATTTTAGAATTCCAGATCATGGATTATTGAAAAGTGGTGATGGATATTCTTGGAAATGTCATGGAATTTTAAATGGAATACTGTAAGGTGTACGAACCCTGAGTTAATGATAAACCTAAAGATGGGAGGTTATAATCTTGTTTGCCCAAAGAACAGGAAGCATTGTTTGCAGGTCGAGGTGTGTAAGAAGAAGGACAGAGGAAAGCAAGGGCGGTTTTCATTTAATTAAGAGGAGAGGAAGAGAAACTTCTGGTGGGCTGCAAGTGGCACCACTCGGTGAGCTTCGGCAGGGGTTTGGCGTTTGGGTAAAAGCCTTTCACAAAAATAGGGAGGAGGGTGAAGCGAAGCCCCCCCCCCCCCCACGGAAAGGAAAGTCGACTTACAATTGTCAACTAATTCTCCGATGTTGATCGTCAATGATGGTAGAATTTTCAAACCTTTTCCAAAACGATGCATCTGAACTAACAAACATGATGGAACCTAATAACAGAATAATCAGTTCAAATTTAATTTTGCAACAATAGGCCTTCTTCAGAATAATGTAGTCAAAATACTGGGTGGCATTGAGATTTCAAAACAATGAAAAGACAATATAACATTCTGGTTACTGGATCATGACTGGATGGGATTATTGTTATGTAAAGTGTTATGGAAAGCGGGCATTCAAACTTCACGTAATAAGCAATTGACCATTTGCGTAATAGACTAAATTTTGAACTAAACAAGTCTAGACAAAAATTTCATCACAGCTTGAAGGAGCATCACAAAATTAGTAATATTCCAAAGTTTCGTTGCAAAATGTTGTAAAATGTGGAAAATATAGCCTTGC